GCTCAGGTTACCATCAGTTGAGGATTTGGGAGCCAGATATCCCGAAGACTGCTTTCAAGACTCGGTATGGTCATTACGAGTTTCTTGTTATGTCATTTGGGCTGACCGATGCCCCAGCAGCTTTATGCATTTGATGCACAGTGTGTTCCGGCCGTATCTTTACTCGTTCGTCATTGTCTTTATTGATGATATTTTGATATATTCCTGGAGTCGGGAAGATCATGAGCAGCACCTGAGGACTGTGCTTCAGACTCTGAGAGGGAAGAAGTTATATGCTAAGTTCTCGAAATGTGAGTTTTGGTTGGATTCAGTGGCATTCATAGGCCACATAGTATCGAGTGAGCGTATTTAGGTGGATCCGAAGAAGATAGAGGCCGTGCAGAGTTGGCCCAGACCATCCTCAGCTACAGAGATCAGCAGTTTCCTTGGCTTGGCGGGCTACTACCGTCGTTTTGTGGAGGGGTTTTCATCGATTGCAGCCCCTATGACCAGGTTGACCCAGAAAGGTGCTCCATTTTAGTGGACGGAGGAGTGTGAGGAGAGCTTTTAGAAGCTCAAGACAGCCTTGACCACAGCTCCAGTGTTGGTTTTGCCATCAGCTTCAGGTTCATATATCGTGTATTGTGATGCTTCGAGAGTTGGGATTGGTTGTGTGTTGATGCAGGGTCGGGTTTGTTTACCCAATGTTGATGGGCTTTGGGAGCTGATTCTAGAGGAGGCCCACAGTTTGCGGTATTCCATTCATCCGGGTGCCGCGAAGATGTACTAGGATTTGAGGCAACACTATTGGTGGAGGTAGATGAAGAAAGATATAGTTGGGTTGTAGCTAGGTGCCTCAACTGTCAGCAGGTGAAGTATGAGCACCAGAGACCGGGTGGATTGCTTCAGCAGATAGAGATTCCGGAGTGGAAGTGGGAGCGAATCACCATGGACTTTGTAGTTGGGATCCCGCGGACTTTGAGAAAGTTCGACACTGTTTGGGTGATTGTGGATCGGCTGACGAAGTCCGCTCATTTTATTCCTGTGTGTACTACTTATTCTTCGGAGCGGTTGGCGGAGATTTATATCCGGGAGATTGTTCGTCTGCATAGTATTCCATATTTCCATCATTTCGGATAGAGGTACTCAGTTCACATCACGGTTCTGGAGGGCCGTTCAGCATGAGTTGGGTACTCGGCTAGAGTTGAGTACAGCATTTCACCCTCAGACGGACGGGCAGTCCGAGCGCACTATATAGACTCTTGAGGATATACTCCGTATGTGTGTGACCGAGTTTGGAAGGTCTTGGGATCAGTTCTTGCCGTTGGTGGGGTTTGCATACAACAACAGTTATCAGTCCAGCATTCAGATGGCACCGTATGAGGATTTATATGGTAGGCGGTGTAGATCTCCGGTGGGTTGGTTCGAGCCGGGTGAGGCTAGATTATTGGGCACAGCCATAGTTCAGGATGCTTTGGAGAAGGTTAAGGTGATTCAGGATAGACTCCGTACAGCCCAGTCCAAACAGAAGAGCTATGCGGACCGGGAGGTTCGCGATGTTTCCTATATGGTTGAAGAGCGGGTTCTGCTTCGGGTTTCGCCTATGAAAGGCGTTATGAGATTTGGGAAGAAAGGGAAGTTGAGTCCGAGGTTTATTGGCCCTTTCGAGATATTGAGGCGAGTTGGGGAGGTTGCTTATGAGCTTGCGTTACCTCCCAGCCTGGCAGGAGTTCATTCGGTATTTCATGTTTCGATCCTCCGGAGGTATCACGGTGATCCGTCGCACGTGTTGGATTTCAGTTCAGTCCAGTTGGACAAGGATCTATCCTATGTTGAGGAGCCAGTGGCAGTATTGGACAGGCAAGTTAGAAAGTTGAGGTCAAAGAACATTGCATCAGTGAAGGTTCAGTGGCGGGGTCAGCCGGTCGAGGAGGCGACCTAGGAAATCGAGCAGGATATGCGCAGCCGGTACCCTCATCTTTTCACTACTTCAGGTATGTCTCTATGCTCGTTCGAAGACGAACGAATGTTTAAGCGTGGGAGGATGTAACGACCCGGCCGGTCGTTTTTAGAATTTACGCCCCGATCCCCTATTAACTGCTTTCCCCAAGTTTATTTCTGCTATTTTGAATTGCTGGGATGGTCGGTTTTGAATTTCGGAGAGTTTTGGGACACTTAGTCCCTAAATGAGAGCTTAAGTGTTGGAAAGTTGACCGTAGTCGGAACAGTGTGAAGATGGTCTCGGAATGAAAATCCGATGGTTCCGCTAGCGTCGTTGGGTGATTTCGGGTTTAGGCGCGTGGTCGGGTTGTGTTTTGGAGGTCCGTAGATAATTTAGGCTTGAAATGCCGGAAGTTTGATTTTTGAAATTTCCGGTTCGATAGTGAGATTTTGATCCGAGGGTCGGAATGGAATTTCGAAAGTTGGAATAGCTTCGTAGTGTTGAATGTGACGTGTGTGCAAAATTTCAGGTCATTCAGACGAGATTTGATAGACTTTTTGATCGAAAGCGTATTTTTGAGAAATTTGGAGTTCTTAGGCTTGAATCCATGGTTAAATTGGGTTTTCGATGTTGTTTTAGGTGTTTTAGGGATTGGTACAAGTTTGGACAGTGGCATTAGAGTTGTTGGTGCCTTTGGTTGAGGTCCCGGGGGCCTCGGGATGATTTCGGATGGTTGACGGGGAGTTTTGAGGTATATTGCAGCTGTAGAACTTTGCTGCCTCTGGTATTTCCGCACCTGCGGTTTTGGGAACCGCAGGTGCAATGCCGCACGTGCGGAAGAAGAGCCGCAGAAGCGGAAAGCGGGGGAGTCATCAGGAATCGCAGATGCGGTATGTTTTTCCGCATAAGCGGTACCGCACCTGCGGGTGAAGAGCCGCAGATGCGGAAGCTGGGCGTTAGGTGATGGGTCACAGGTGCGACAATTGGTCCGCAAATGCGCGACTGCAGAAGCGGTCCCAAGGCCGCAGATGCGGAAACTGCTGGGAAGAATGGTTTTAAAAGGGGTTCCGCGACTTTGAAGTTTATTTTAACCATTTTAATCGTTTTTGGAGCTCTTTGGAGGGGATTGAAGAGGGATTCGAAGGGAATCACTTGGAGGTAAGATTCTTGGTCTTAAAACTCGTTTCTAATGTGAAATCTACCTAGTAAATCATGGAAGCTAGGCCTAAAATGGAAGAATTAGGGCTTGGGATTTAAGAGACTTGAAATAAGAATTTGAGGGGCCATTTGGGCTCCGATTTCAGTATTCTTGGTATGTATGAACTCGTGAGAGTGTGAGGATTCCGGAAATATGAATTTCACTCGATTTTGAGACGTGGGCCCTAGGGGCATTTTGGTCATTTTACCTAATTTCGCGTATTAGCTTAGAATTTAATTGTAGAATCAGTTACTGGAAGTATTATTTACATTATGAAATTTAATTGGATAGATTGGGGCCATTTGGAGTTGGATACTCGTGACAAGAACGTGGTTTCGAGTTGACATTTGAGCCGGTTCGAGGTAAGTGGCTTGTCTAACCTTGTGTGGGGGTCCTTTACCCTTAGTATTGATATTGTGATAATTGAAATGCCTTGTACGTGAGGTGACGAGCGCGTACTTGTGCTAATTGTTAAAAATCCGATTTTTCATTAAAAATAGCCTTGAATTGTGTTCTTCCTTTTCTTGCTTACACTGTTTGGAAATTTAGCCTGTTGTTAGCCTAGAGAAGCATGTCTACTTGACTAAATTGCTCTATTTGACTTAACTGTCTTATTTGTATTATGTGAAACACGCTAGGCTAGAATTATTTGTTGCCTTAATATGAAACTTCCCTTCTCTGAATATTTTCTTGCTGCTGTTGTGTATTTATATTGGGACTACGGATGTGGGATCCCGGTAGCTCCCCCTTGTCTGTTTACTTTGGGACTACGGGTTAGATTCCCGGTAGATCCCCCTGCATATTTACTTTGGGACTACAGGTTAGATTCCCGGTAGACCCCCCTGCACAGTTATATGGAACTACGGGAATGCACCCGGTAGATTCCCCTAGTACTGGGTATTTATATTTGGGGACTACGGATCGGGATTCCGGTAGATACCCCCCCCCCCCCTCCCCCCTGCGCATTGATAGTTGGATTACAGTACGGGATCCCGGGAGATCATTCGAACACATATATGATGGACTACGGGGCCGTATCCTGGGAGATCCACTGGATAGTTGTAATTGGGACTACAGGACGGTAACCTGGAAGGTGCCCCGGTTATTATCTCTGTGTTGAGCTGTAATTCTTTTCCGTGGTTGTTTGTCTCTGTTATAGATGTTGTTGTTCTTTCAATTCTATGTTATTTCTTACTGTTGCACTTATTTATACTGTTTATTTAACACTATTAACCCTTATATTTTATTTAACCTCAGTAGGGCCCTGACCTTCCTCGTCACTACCCGACCGAGATTAGGCTTGGCACTTACTGAGTACCGCTGTGGTGTACTCATGCCCCTTCTGCGCATGTTTTTCATGTGCAGATACAGGTACTTCCGCTCAGTCTTATCATCCTTGAGGCGAGGCGCTTCTGTAGAGACTTCAAGGTATATCTGCCGCATCCGCAGAACGAGGAGTCCCTTTCTATTCTCGCTTTTAAGTATTAGGCCTTCTGTATTTCTTTTCTTTGTTAGACAATCTGGAGTTAGACACTGTTAGATATTCGAAGGCTTGTGGTTTCATGAGATTTCGGGTTTTGGGATAGTGTACTTGGTTTGAGAATGGTGTGTTGTATATGTCGAGTGGCATTATAACTATTGTTTCCATTAAGTTATTTTCGTATTAATCATTCTTTCCGCAAGTGTAGTTTATTTTCCGCACTTGTTAGGCTTACCTAGTCGTGGAGACTAGGTGCCGCCACGACAGTTCACGGAGGGCGAACTGGGGTCATGACAGCATTGCATACACACTGTCAATATCAGGCAAAGGCTTCATTAGAAGAATGTTTCTCCTAACCATAGTGTAGGTTTCATTTAACCCATCAAAAATTGATGAACCTTCTACTCTTTCTCTAGCTTCTGAAAAACCTCTTTACAAGCACATGCACAATCTGGATAAGTAATTAAGTAAGCCAAATCATCCAAAAGCTTTTTAATACGACTGAAATAGGAAGCAATGTTAGAAGACCCCTGGGAAATGGAAGCAAGGTCCTTCCTAATTTGAAACACCTTAGTCCCATTTGCTTTCCCATATTGTTGTTCGATTTCTAACCAAAGTTTTTGAGCAGATTCTGTATACATCACACTCTTCCTAATCTCAGTGTCTAGGCCATTTAGTATCCACGCAGTCACCATATCATTACAATGAACCCAGGGTTCAAACAACACAGAGTTTTCACTAGGTTTGGGGATTGTTCCATTCATTATCCCCAATTTATTTTTATATGGTAATCCAATTAACATGCTTCGTCTCCAACCCCCATAAATCATACCATTAAAGGTTTTTGTGACCAAAATTGTGCTAGGCGAGTCAGACGGGTACAAGTACAAAGGGTGTGACGGTTCAACAGAAGAATAAATAGTTGAGGTTGAAGGAGTGATGGCAGCAGTAGTAGTGGAAGAATCGTCAATAGGAGCCATTCATAGAAACTTATTCAATTGAAAAATTAGGTTTTGAAAGAATTAGGGCTTTCACAAATTCAATCAATTCTTACAGTAATGCAAATGTAGACGGCAAAAATTACAGCAGAGGAAAGTTACCGGACTCCGACGACTAGTTTGAACAGAACACACCATAAAAAAAACGCCGAAGCAAACTCACTACCAAAAAATCCGAAACCACGAACCAGCATCCAAGGGTAGTATCGATCGACACGAAATGCTCATATATCTTCAATTCTGAACTCTGATACCATGAAAACACTCGAATTCCTCATGGATTCAAGTAAAATTCACAAGAAAAACCCTAAGGCAAAATATGCGTATGAAGACCAAAGCGTATGAGCTGAATAGAGAAATATTTTATTAATTTGTATATTCTGTACAAAATAATATGAAAGTCTATATTTATATTTACACAAACTGGGTCGGGTAAAGAGTAAATAAAGAGAAATTTTCATAAAGCACTATCTTTTAGTGGTAATTAGCTATCTATAGATATCATTTGCTATATTACGGATTGTAGATACGTTTTCTGTTGTTATAAGATGTATTAGATGTATTTAAGCTATTTTGTATTCATGAATACAGTAGCAAAAGTCGGCGTGAATCAGGGAAGTCCTGCTAATCAGTTATTGTATTCGAGTGTATTCGACTGTATTCATGGTGTCACGGCCCATTTTCTGAACAAGCCGAGACCGGCACTCGATCACTAAACATGACCGAGTGAACCATCTCTGCTTATCAAACCTATTATAACTCCAAACGTTATATGCAACAAAGCAATACTCTAACCAAATACTTTTGATTAATTTAAATATTTAAATAAATCAACTCCAAAACTTTATTTGTAGTAACTACTGAATTACTGCTAAGTTATTATAAAAGAACATCTGAATCTCAACCCAATGACTATGTCTATGAAGCCTCTACTGATAAACTGATGCACTGCTCAGGACATGAGATTTCCTGGTCAGTTCTCTAAGTAACAAAGAAATAACTAAATAAAGATGACTCTAAGGAATACTCCACGAACAAAAGCGGAGCTCACCAATAGCACTAGAAGCGAAGGAAGTCCTAACTCGTAGCATGCTCGCCTGCAAATCCGGTTCCTACGTTGTACCGCAGACCAACGTAGGTTCCCAAAAGAGAACATCAGTACCATCCATTGTACTCAGTGAGTCTCAACAACAGGGGGCGAAACTTTAATAACATATACATTATGAGCAAAGGTTCTAAATGCATGTAAAACATAAAGCTTATAATAATAATCCTAAATAATTGCATAACGGCAGTTATGAATATTCTAAAAGAAATTCTTTTCCTTTTTTTTCTTTCTTTAAAAAAAATACTTCACTTTATACTTTGGGAGTTCCAACTATCCTGACTTAATTCTGTCTCAGTCACCGTGTGATCGGCACGGGTTCGATCCCAACCTGATCGAATAGGTCCAATCCACGAGGTGCCACTCGCTTCATGGTTCTCAGCGCTCATGTATCATACCTTAGCATGGCTAAGTAAATTCTCAGCAACGAGACCCCCGGCTCGTGTGCTCCCTACTTTCGCACAAGTAGTTTCAGGAAGTCAACGCCTTGGTCAGGACCCTAGGCCTGGACGATGACCCCTTCTCAGAATAAAGGATACTCCCAAAAATCTTTTCTTGCTAAAACTTCTTCTTGTGACTTTTCAAGTCTAAATCTTTTCTTTATAGAACACCATGTACATGCTCATATTGGTGTCCTTAAATGTAAAGCATGGCATAAGAATGAAATAAACATATAAAAATATTTCTAAAGATTCTTTCTTCTTCATAAATTTTCAACATGAAAATAGCATATATGAATAACACAAAAATCTGAAAATAAGAATGAAATAAACATATGAAAATATTTCTAAAGATTCTTTCTTCTTCATAAATTTTCAACATGAAAATAGCATATAAGAATAACACAAAAATCTGAAATTTATGCACATATATCCAAATAATCATCTAAACTTTAGCTAGAAAATAATTCTAAGCTAACAGGTACTTACTACTCCAATTAAGTATATAGTAACTCTTTTATGCAATTCATCAAACACCTTGTGTGCGTGCTTTTGTGAGTTAAATCACTTTAGTAAAGGGTTATATCAACTCACCTCAAAACTTCTCGAGCCAATACGTAGGCCCCAGTCCAATTGACACCAGTCAAACAATCGATTCTACAACAACCAGTGTATTTTAATCAATTTTAAAGTTTCACACCTAAACATGAAATTTATTGTTGACATAGAGGAAGAAGGGAATTAACTATCCAATTTTTATCTATTACTATTGTAGGATAATTGACAATAGGGAATTTCATATACCTGAATTCAAGAATTAGTGATTTGTAAAGAACCCTAGAATCTTTTCGTGGCCTCCGTGAGTAAGCAGCGCTGCCTCTGTTTCGTAGGCTTGTGTTTGCTTTGCTTCTTATTTTTTTTCCGTTTTTGTTTTGTTTCTTTGAATAAGGCTTCTGCCTTTTTGTTGCTTTTCTGAACAAGGCTTCTGCCTTTTCCTCCTTCTAAAGTGGAATACGTACTACTAAATGCAAGGCTTTAAGCCCTTTGTTTTATTATTTTATTTATTTTCCCTTTTTTTTTTGACTTCACTAGTATTTAATTATACTTATTTTTAATAATTAATAACATTAAAATTGTTAATATTTCCCTAATTGTACATGCAATTATTTATAAATAGAGAAGTAACTCAAAATTAATCACAAGGGTTTTAGTCCGTAATAGAAATAGAATTTAAGATTATAAAAATAAATAATTAAATTTTATATTTCGCGTGTCTTGAAACTTTTATATATTTGAGGAGTGTTACACATGGCGTGAAACATGGGATTACAGCTGGACAGATTTTTGTATTCGAGTGTATTCGACTGTATTCATGGCGTGAAACATGGGATTACAGCTGGACAAATTATTGTATTCGACTGTATTCACGGCGTGAAATAGGGGATTACACTATTTTTAAACGGAAAGTGAATCAATTAACATAATAGACTCCTAATATAACTTAACAAACTCAATTATAGCACACAAATTTTGTATTTCTCGTTATAAAAAAGATTCTCAACCGAAAAACACCCCAAAAACATAGCAATCTTCAGAGAAATTACATAATTCATCTGAATACATAAATTATATTAATTAAAAAAATATATGAAAATACATTCATGGAATATAGCGATACAGTGAATACAATAAAATACATAGAATACAGCGGGATACATTGAAATATAATGAAAAAAAAGACAATGAATACAATGAAATACATCGAGATACATTTAAATACATTGAAATATATTAGCAGAAAAAGGGATTTCTTCATCATCAAACCCATCTTCGAAGTCCAGCGAATAACTCAACAGATCATAACGGAACTGATCAGTAGAGGAGGAGTGTTGTCTCTTGTGCCTGTTAGGTCCAAGGCTGAAAATAGTAAAAACCTTGTCTTTTAAATTCGGGTGGTTATTGGGTTCCCAAATCAGCGCCGGATTCTCATCGGAGGATGACGGCGGGGGCGGAGGAGAAGGGTGGCAGTGAGGAAAGCAACAGGAGAAGCAAAAGGAGTTCTTCAACTTTTGCTTCAAAGATGGAGCTGGGTATAGAAAAAGGATGATTCTCGTCCATTGGAGTTTGAGATTTGGGAGTAAAAAATGGAGGAGAAATTGAGGGGTTTTACACAGTAGAGAAATAGAAAACGACGGATATTCTAATACATGAGAGAGAAAAATAATACAGGCGTATTTTATGGCTTAACAGTAGGAAGTACCCAAAAATAGATATTTGGCTATAAAAATCAAAAGGTTGCTATGGAATATAATTTTTTAAAAGGGTATTTATTTAAAATAAATAAGGTATCAACCTTTGCTATAGGAGGTAAAAATTCCTTAAATAAAAAAGGAACCGGGTCTACTAAGGAGGCTTCATCAGCTTCTTCAAGTGGGCCTCTCCTTCATTGGGCCTGTGTATTACTCCATGGGCTCCAACAAGATTTCCAATGTAACAGTTTTTTCGGCCATCACAGTGGTTATTTGATGAATGATGATGGCTAGCATTATTATATCTAGTAAACACGTCAATTGATCCATTCAACTGTAACTATGCTGAAGTTTAACTATCAGTCGCAAGGTTAGTAGGCAAACAAATTCTTATGGAAAATTCGGAAAATACTACTTAGTTCTCAAAATAAATTTATGTTACTTAAGTTCTCCGGCCCTAGGAAATTTAGAACATTGAAGAGACCTACCATGAGGGCAAGGCAAAGTGATTCTGTGACAGCAGCCACAACAGATGCAGCGTCAATTACTACATCAGCCAGGTAACTTAAGGATTCAAAGGGTGAAAAGCATTGCCCCGCAAATACTTCTGTATCTACTGGTAGATAGCAAATCGATAAGAGAACATGGCAATATTTTCAGACTTCCCAGATCCACCCAAGAAAATATAATAAAATAAAAGATGGTTGACTATAAATTAATGCCAAGTAACCAAAATCTTCAATCTTGGAAGTAAGTATCAGATCAACTCAAAATCTCAGGAACACTCAAAATTACCAAAACCAAGTAATACATCCAGCAATAACATAAACCAGACCCACCAAATAGCAGGAAATACATCCTACTGATCCTAAGCAGCAATAGATGGCTTAGAAGCTGCAGAGAGTCTAGACCTCTTCTTAGCCAAACTCTCACTGCGCTTCTCTCTTTGCTCTTTCAACCTTGAAGCAAGAAGCTTCTGATATTCAGCTGCCTCCGACTTAGCCTTAGCAATTCTCTTCTTCTTGTCAGCAATTCTTGCCCTCTTTCTTTGAAGAGTCAAGGGTGTCACAAGCCTCTGAATCTTAGGAGCTTTGCTCGCCTTTTTCCCTGTCGCACAAAGCATCATAATAACATTCAAATTTTGTCCAAACTGCCATATTTACAATACAAAACAGACCAGAAGTTGAA